CTAACAATCAAAATAATATCGATTCGTTTGAAATAAAGCGATTTCAAATAATTAATTATATCGTAATTTTTTTATTTCAAACTTGATAAAATAAATAGTCCTCGAAATAATATTCAACAAAAGGATTTTAATCTAAGGAACCTTCATAACAATTACTTTTAAGCGAGGATATAACCTTCAAAATAGTATACAAGAAAGAATATTTTATTTTAAGCAGTTTTCATAACATCTTTGAGTAATATTTTCTCTTCAAAAAGTTCATCGGTACGAGATTTTTATATGGCCCATCTAGTATAGTGAAAAGAAATAATTGTTCCTGTTATACAGAAGATGCAAAAAAAAGTGTTATACTTATCGTCAGACGCCTTAATTATCCGATTATCATTTAACATAGGCAAATCAGTCCCTTTATCTTGCAAAAATAATAACAAGTAAACGATGTCTGAAATTATCAATAATAATATTGGAAGTAGGCAAATATCTGACAACGAGTAGCTTAAACTTTGTAAAATAGACTTATCCGGCATCATTCGATAAATGATAATTCTTCAATTCTTATTACATCATTCCCATTAAACAAATTAAAAACTGCAGTCATGTTTAAATCACGTTTAAATCTCTAAAATTCGTTTAGGTAATACAGATCAGAAAGCATAAAATACTATCTCATATTTGTTACAAATTTCAAACAAACAGAAGTACCCGTAGTACACACATAATCTAGCTCATTATCACAATGACTTGTCAAGTATACTGTGGTTTGTTAATTTTCTTCTGAGACAGCGTACATACAAAGATCGTATTTTAAATTAAACATATATGTATATCTATATCATAAGACTTAACCATGTTTCCTGAATCTTGTTTTGATTCGTAGTTATCACATTCAGATGTGTGATATATATGTATTAGCAGATAATACATGGAAGCACAGTAAACAGATTGAAATAATTTTTGTCTAGTAACCTAAATTAGTAACATTTGCACCATCTCAAACATTACGTCTGCTTGACAAAAGAGTTATTTTAAGATTAAGGATGACTGGAACAAAGTAAGCGTCTTTGGTTTTCAAATTAAAAGATATAGGAAAAAGAAAACATTGTTCGCATTGATTCTCATACAGATTAACTGGAAATACGTAGCAATCAATTCAGAGTTTGTGAATGTTCTCGAAGAGTGTCGGTATTTGGAATGAAATACGCTGTTTGTTCGTGTTCATTGTGTTCAGTGGAGATGTGCAGCTACCACTTTTCGCGCACAAATCAACGACAGATACTCACAGGCCATTCCGAGTGCTCACGAATGTTTGTGCGTGGCTGTTGCAGCTCGTATACGATCTGCATTCGTGCGTGTCATGTGAATGCATCAACCATGCAAGTGGTCTGCAAACGTTTGTGAACTACTTGCGTGGCCGATGAATATGTGGTTTAATAGTTTCTCGATTTTTACGGAAATCCGTTTTGAAATGTTTCTTTCATTCGACAGGTAAGCAAGAAAAAATAATAAATTAAATAATATAAATAAAATTGTAATTAAGTAAAACAGTATCGTCACAAAAAATCACAGCAAGAATCACGGCATTTGTTTTTAATTTTAATAATTATTACCTTCAAAAATTTTGGTATATACAAATAATATTTAATTAAATAAATAATAAAATCTATAAATAAATAATATTTGAAACAAATTGTACAATATTTAAAAACTATAAAATATTTTAAGTAAAAGTAAATGTTAGGTAATGATGAAATGTGTATTTAAATTTATAAGAAATACAATATAATTTGACATCCATTTGTTTTTCAAAAGTATAGCTTATTGAATTTGATTTTATGTCAAGTTATACGATGAATTGATTTTTAAATAGCTGCAGCGTAATCAACTGTACAAAGAGAGTATAGATAAATAATACATGTATAACTTGTTAACCTGTTTTTACTGTATTAAATGGACGTATTTAAATAATGATATCGGTCTATGGAATTATGGTAAAACTGATAAACAGAGCATACATATAAAAATGACATTCCTGTTATGCTTTTGTGACAAAAAGGCACTGCCTTTCAATCCCTTAATGAGAAAATTATTTTATATAATATGATAATAATATAGTAATATAAATAAAATAAATTAACTATTCTCATCCTATAATATCATTTAATTTATATTGTAATGATAAACAGTAACAAAAGTGTGTTTATTTTGGTTTACGTGATAAACTTTATCCAAATGAGAATCATAGTGGTCTAAATTTAAATCTTGATTATTTAACTTAATTACATTTTTCAAAGTTCTTGTGTTCTGTTCGTTTATTTCCATAGACAATTATTATGTAAGTCATGAACAACTTTATATATTTTTCAATATAATTTCTTTAGTACTTAACAAAAAGAATAAACTGTCAGGAAGAAAGAAACAGAATCTGGTAAATGTTGTTGTCCATTTAGTATTATTAATATTATTTTCACTAATTGTCTGCCTGCAGAATATCATATAATTTTCATTTATTATAAGTGTATCCAAGTATCCCAGTTATTGAATAAATGTATAATATATTGTATCATCCAATCTTAGCCTTTTAACGTCTAGCTTTGATCACAAAATTCCAGACTCGAAACAGACATTGATAGAAAATATACTAAACAATAACAATTTAATCTGATATTAAAATCTTTCATCTAGAATATGATACTTTAAGTGAAAATGTGCAAAAGAACACTCAGGTACTCGGTTATTGACATAAAGGATAATCTATCATTGCAATTCATATAAAATTTTTCATAATAGTAAATACAATTCATCACGAATTTTTACCACTATGATATACAGACTTTAAATTATAAATAATAAATATATATAAATAATTAAATTATAATAAAGCAAAAAAAGATAAAAAAGGAAGAAAATTACTAAAGATTGTTCATCAGATTATAATTGTATAATAAAGTAATGATGCTGATATGTATACGTTCTATAAAGTTTTTTGTTATTTGATGATTGAGTAAAATTTCAGTATACAATATTCCTCGGATAAATGAGCACGGTTTTATAAGCGACAAATATCGAGTAATTTGTTAAAGTAATCTTTTTTTTATATTTTTAATTTGTTTTTTATGAAACCACTGTTGACAGATCATGAAGTTTTCACAGAAATAAATTCAAACATGATTTTAATAATAATCGAATTAGATTCGAATGAATTCCGAATTTTTGAAAGATCTTCTCTCATTTTTCTTTAATAATAGGAATCAATTATTGTAAACTTTTTTATAGTTCAAAATTATTGCCATGTCAAATTATTATTTTTAATGTACAATTAGATATAGGAAGAAATAAATCGTATCTGATTATTTTGTTGTCAGAAAAAATTTCTCAGCAACTTATGGACAATAATTTAATGACGATGACTCAAAATATAAGAACATTTGGATGATACAGTGCGTTCGAGTACAATCATGAAAAGTTGATGGTTTCGTTAAAATCAGTCGAGTGTAACAGTACAAATGTTCTGACACCATTAAGCCGTTGAAAGAGTCAAAGAAGAGTAAAAAATTCCAAATTGTGTAAAATTTTGTGAAAACTGTCCAAAAAGATTTTCAAAGTAAACAATTTCTTGACTAATAATAATTTTTGATTCATGATACGGATATCAGCGAGCAATGCAACTAATGGTCGCGTGGCCGGTTACCGGTGGCCCAAAGGGTGTTGTAGCCAAGTCGAGTGCTGCCCACTGGTGGCCCCCACGGTAATCAACGAGTTAATAGAACATTAGCGAGTTTATTTATTCTCATCTTTCTATTAATCAAGGCTGCTGCTTAATAGAATAATTTACGAACGCACTGTATCATCCAAATCAACCATACTCGTGATTAGATTCGGTTCGTAGTCAGTTCGTGATTATTTATCCGAGAATTATTGCACTTAAAAAGATGAACGATATGAAATGACATCTTAGCGAAAGTTTTTCGTATCTTAACTTGCTACATACTTCCAGAATAATCTGTACGTATTATCACGAAGTAAGGAAATAAAGTATTATTTTATTTCTTTCTTTTTTTCATGAGATTCGCATTCGAAATATTTATAATTTATATTTCTGAAAATGTTAAGTAATGTAGTTATAAATATCAACAATAAAATCTTCGATTTTCTCATAAAACAGTTTACAAATAAATGTGTACAATGTCTACTATACTACTATTCTATAAAAATTTCAATGAAGACTTTGTCTTTGTAAAGTAAATTAATATTATATACATATAATATAAAATAAGTATAAATATTTTGTACACGTGTTGTCAACTTTGATTGAATGTCGTAATATATGGTACGAAATATTGCGATATTTATCCCTAAGAGATGTATAAGGAACTAACGAATTATGGTTATTATCATCGTTCATCGAGCAACGTAACGTTAATTATTCTATCTTTAATAAATCTTATATTATCTCGTGTCAGTGTTATCGATCGTTATCGATTACAGTCACTGGCAGAAAATGTTAACACGAATAATGTACTACAGTACTGCTCGTATGAGTATCCCATTCCTGCACACTTTAGCATCCACTAATTCCACGAATTATTAGAAAATGGATTCACATAGAGCAGAGGGTATTAATTTTTCATTCTTATATTATTCCCTCTTACAGTCTCAGAAATCATTTTCACGAGAAAATCGCCCAGATACGATTCCGTAAAATGGAGAACACTAAAGCGAGCACTACTATAGTCCGAAACGTGAAATGATAAACTCTACAACAGTGAAGGAGAAAATCAACGAGAATAACATCGAATAAATTAGAATGAATCTTATAAAAGTCGTTTGATTTTCTAGATATTTTTCTTTAGTAATTTCGCACTTGCATACATGCCTTGTATATCTAATTTGTCCTTGAAAAGACAGATGCGAGGCTAAAAAGACGTCTTGGCACCGTTAAATAATTTATTACGTGTTAAAAAATGACAGTTTTTCTTTACCTTGACATTACATGTCGCAGTTTACGATGAGAAATCGGAGAAGGTCGGCGAATCGCTGTAGACATGGAAAGTTGGATCCTCGCTGGGAAAAATGTTAGCTTCCGTTTTATAGGGCATCACTTTGTCGGAGATGCAACTGATTGTTCCCATGCGATTTTTACGTACTGGATCGCCCGACTCAAAAAGATAGTTAAAAAAATACAAATTAGAAAAATTTGTGTAGGTACGAATTTGGATAATCGAATACAATCGATTCCCAATTATACGGATTTACTATAACCGTACTTCGCTTTAATCGGTCACAAAAATTACTAATATGTTCAGGGATTATGAATGTTTTTCGATTAAATGTACTTTTTGTCGTACATATTGATTATTGTTTAAATAATCTTTTTCTTTTCTGAGTATCTGGATACCAGATTTTGTATGTAATCATATATATGTTAATCTTTCTCTAGTAACAACGTATAAATGATAGATAATATATACTATAATAATAAATAATAATAATAATAAAGATAATAATAATAATAATGACGATAATAATGATGATGGCGATGATGATGATGATGATGATGATGATAATGATAATGATGACAATGTGATAATGATGATGATGATGATGATGATGATGATGATGATGACGATGACGATGATGACGATGATGATGATGATGATGACGATGATGATGATGATAATGATGATGATGATGATGACGATGATGATGATAATGATGATGATGACGATGATGATGACGATGACGATGATGATGATGACGATGATGATGATCATCATCATTTTTCAATAATATCTAAGCAACATATAGGATGTTCCGTGGTAATATTAGAAATCGGACAATTTTACGTGAAAAAATAAGTCAGAAACATGAAATGAATTTTTTCCTGCAAGTCTTTGTTTTTAAGAAAATTGACCATAAACATACTTAAAGTGAGAGCTTGACTGTGTATCGCGTTAACGAATCTCGTTGTGTTCGTTTTATTGGGTTACAGAGAACTTGTAGTGAAACAAAGTGTCGATGAATGTGATTATTGGTAAGGTAATTGTTATTAAACTTTGAAATTGTTGAAATTTTCTCTTCTGTTGAATACCCAGTTATAATATTCGTATTGAATCTTTATAAAGATATTTAATTTGTTTCGATTTTTTGTTTTTTAAAGAATCAAAATAATATTATTTTCTCAGTGTTTACTACAGAAATGTATCCATAAGTGGAAGTTTGTAATTACTCTGTTATTTGCAATAATCTATTCTTACTTGACCGGCAGAGTGGGGATTAGTAATGAGCAGTAGCACAGTAGTAGAACCAATAGCTAATTGTACTATTTTATTTATTGTCAGTTTAAGGAATCAGAATTTTGTTGTGGATATTTAAACATAATTTTGAGAAGAAACACTTATTTTTAATAATTTTGATTTTCTTTCCAGTAAAAGTAGATTTAATACATTGAGTAGATGATAAACTAAGATACGTCGCCATCTTTCCCAAGGAAATCCTAAATTGCTAATAACAATGTAATACATAATGCACAATGAGTGACCATAGACGAATTTACATATATGTAACATTTTACAAATATTCTGGGTGTTGTTAGTTATTTCTAATATAAAAATCCCACGATTATAAGGTAAGTTTAGGTTTCGAACCTAAGAGTGGAGTTCTCTGGGGGAAATTAATATGAAATTAATTAATAAAGATCTAATAAGTTATTTCTACACAGTACCTACTTTTTTTATATTTGATATTGAGAGCTTTCGAAATATTATTACTTATGGGACATTGCTATGTTTATAATTCCTGTAGACAAGCTGTAGTATTAGTTTACAGCGCCATCTGTTAAAGTCAATTTCCTCGAAAACAAAATGTCACGTGAAAAAAGTTTATTCTACATTTCTGACGTATTTTTCAATGCGCAAACATCTCTTGCCCGACTGTATTCCAGATACCAACCTGTATATCTGTATATAATTAATATTACTATATTATATAGTTAGTACATATTACTAGATTAACTATATATTAACACGTTAAGTGCCCAGTCCATTTTGCTTGCTGTTCCGTTCAGGCCCAGACTCGACCATCAAGTGGCTCACTGGCGGCGGGCGAAGTGTTCATAAAACTCGGAGATACTGTCCAATTGTTACAATAGGAATTCACAAACGTCAGGTCCAAAGATGGTGAAGAATTTAACACCAAAAGCTAGCATCTTTTGGTCCTAGTCTGGGTCCGAATGGAAAATCTAGCGCCGGTTCCTGGGGACACTTAACGTGTTAATCCTTTGCACTCGACGATTTTTTGGCTAGAGAAGAGTAGAAAATCAAAGATTCTCTACTAAAAAACTGACGATACTTTTTTGAGCAGTAAATAAAGAATTGTATAATAATAGAATTGTAGAGTTATTTGATTTCGATAGTTTGCACACTGTTACATTACATTAAATTTGATATATTAATGAATATCGATCTTCCAAATTTTATGAAATGGTAACTGAAGCTTACCTCTCGAATGCAAAGGGTTAACTGCATATTACTTATCGTGCATCTGTAAGTTCAGCCATTTTCTGAGCTATTATCTCCGTTTAAGAATCAGATTGGCATTCAAGAAATAAAATTTAATGAAACATCAATCACCTGATCAGAATCGCTGGAAATCGACTTACGACTTCGATTTCGGCAATTTTCGGCGAACACCGACGGGCTGGAAATGTCTCTTGATTCTGACACTTCCTGGATAGTAGATAGCTTTCGGTCTTCTTCATCATCGTCATATATCTCCACGGTGGTCTCCTGAATTCTGGCCTGACACTCTAGACAGGGAGGGAGGCGTATGAGAGGGACCTAGCTAACCGAGGTCTCCTCGACAGACGGGCTCGCCAGTGCTTGTGTCTCACCGTTGGCATGTTTCACCTCGTCCTGGCTCGGACGTGATACCGGTGGACTGCTCCGAGAACAGGAGGTCATGCTCTGCATCGTTTGACTACGATCGGCAAAAAATCGCATGCTGTATGCTTCACGGTTACTACTTTGAAGTGCAACCACCTGCAACGACGTTGACATTACCACATTACTTTGGAACATTATACATCGAGAACAATATCGGTATTGGTAAATTCTAATTTTGTTTCGGCCGCGGTGTGCAATTGGCGCTGTGCTCGAATTCTACCGTGGCGCCATCTGTCCTATTGGTATCTAACATGAACGAAACACGTCGTACGTAAATGTTTTCTAGCACAGTAGAATCTCGCTTGTTGTAACAAAAATATGGCGCAGTCGTTTGCATAATCGAATAACTCTGCTCTTGTTTTTGTATTAAAGAAAATCATTTATTATAACTTAATAACTTAATATAATAAAGCTTTAATAATCATTTTAGTCTTCCTATCTTTCTTTTCTGCCATGTTTTTCATGTTTTATAACTTGGAACTGTCTTCTGATAGAATGTAATGAATAAATACAATAGTAAGCTAAAGACTTTGCACAGACGATAAATAATAATTTGATAAAGCAAGAGAGAGAGAGAGAGAGAGAGAGAGAGAAGAAAAAAAATATAATTTCTTTCTTTACTATTTATCAAGCTTTGGTAGTAATAAATTAATTAAAATTTGGTTGAATTAGACTTAATAATAAAAAATACGACTAACGAAAATTTACTGTAATCAATTTACAATCTCTTTTAAATAAAAATATAGAAACAAATATTATACATAAAATACTATCTAGTGAGTTAATTATTAGCGTTATATAAATTTCGAATGTACATTTCCAATTTAATTTAAAACTGTGTTCTTACGTAAATTTTCGTTTTAAAAATTATTTAATTGAAAAATATTTTAGTTTTCATATCTATCTTTATTTGTCGGACCCAAAGAAATTGTTACTATTATAGCACATATCCAATTTAATTTGAAATTGTGTTCTTACCTCAATTTTCGTATTAAAAATTATTTCATAGAAAAATATTTCATTTTTCGCGTCCATCCTTACTCGTCAGACCCAAAGAAATTGTTACTATTATGGTACATATCCAATTTAATTTGAAATTGTGTTCTTACGTAAATTTTCGTTTAAAAAATTATTTAATAGAAAAATATTTCGCTTTTCTCGAATTGTTGGGATATCGATTTTTCTTAAATTTTGGATTACTCACATTAGCAGGCCGAACATTCTTGTATGGTTGAAAAAGCACCAAATACACTTTTGGCGTGAAGAGACAGCCGAGAGCTACTGACGCAGAAATATTGATGCACATACACATACTTGCAATCTGTACCTGCAAATTTATATTTGTATTCATTCATTTCTTTTTACACATCGGGGAAATGCATGCATTAACTTTTATCTTTGATCTCGTATGAGTAATATTTCAAGTATATATTCGTAACTTTGATATTAATGAACATGGTAGCTAAAACGATCTGTCGTGCAGGAGAATTCGTAGTACAAATGAAAGTGAGCCTTATATTCTTTATGTGACGTAACATATAGAATTCTCTCACATTACAAAGCACCCCACGTTAACACTAGAACTACCAACCCAGTCAAAATGACTGGTCCCAGAATTTTCCTTTTTGCAATCATCGAACACATATACCTGCTTTAAGAATAAAATTGGTATCAACTCATATTTAAGAAAGAACTGTAATCAATTTATTAACTCACATTCATCGTACCGCTGAAATTACCATAACCTGTGCACGTTATAGTTAGATACCCATTAAAGATCGGTAGTTCTAGTGTTAAATGTGAAAATTTTATTCCCACTGTTAGGGAAATCACTTCTAAAATAATAAATGACACGATCCGACGTCGAATATCAATGTAACTTATGATTGGTTCGGATGACATAGCGATGTCGTAAACTCATAATCAGTCGAGTGCAAAAGTACTGCAGGCAGCTCAGAAGAAGTCAGTCGGCTGGGATTAAAAATTAATCAACGGGTTGGCTTAATCGCATATAAAAGTAAAAACGAATATCATCATAGTATACACGAATTATCTTAACCCTCTATGGACCGAAAATATATTTTTCTTGACTATAAGAATTGTATGTAACATAAAATCAACAAATATCAACTAATAAATTCAGCAGTTTTGATAATTTTATTATAACGAATTCATATTGAAAGTTTGAATTAACAACGTTTGTACTATTGTGCCAAGATAACGTGCAATAGATAGACAAGATAATTTTCCACGCCATCTTGTGGAGAAAAGGTCATAGGGGGCCATAGAGGACCTAACCTATCATGATTGAATAACCGGTAAATGAAAAAGAATTAGAATTTTTAAAAATGGAACCACGGGAGGTATTGTAAAAATAATTATAAATATATCGAAAGAAAACTCGCGAATTGGAGAGAGCAAGACGATAACGTTGAATGCAGTATTTCATAAAATATCCATACATTAGCATGTAACTTGAAAGCTACACGGGCCCATAGAGGGTTAATTATCCAGATGCTCATGCCCATTAACTTGAAACACGTAGACTTGACAGATATACCAATTTTGTTTCATTTAAAACACAATAAAATTTCTGTGCAACATGGGTCTATATTATTATCCGAAATTCGGTGCCATAAAGAGTTAAAGTAGCATAATCTGAGTTTAACGAATCTTTCCATGACATTAACTAATTTATATTCTAATATTGTTACTTCTTTCATGTTTCCAGTTGTACTACGAATTATGCTGCACTATGTCTATCTGCAAAAGGAAGTAAAAAATCTTAATTAATAAATTCCTCGTGATCATCGTTTCAGGCCAAGTGATTTATTTCTGTTAGAAGTTCTTTTGAAATTATCGATAAAGGTGAATATCATTCGAATCACTGTATACAGAGCAGCATAGATACACTGTTATAAACTGCTATAAACTGAATTGAAATAATATGGAATTACCATGAATTAGATATCAATTTGATACACATAACTTCAAGATAATACGTGTCTTCTGTAATCTCTAATACCGACCTTATAGTCATTGTTTGAGCCAAAGTAGATGGGTACGAAAGCTAACCATACAATGCATGTTGAATACATCGTGAAACCGATGTATTTCGCTTCGTTGAAATTCTCCGGTATCTTACGTGTTTTGAACGCATAGAGAGTGCACATGAGTATCAGGAACATGTTGTACACGAGCGACATCATCAAGGAGAACGTGGAAACACGGCACGTGAGCACAGCTGATAATGGATATGGATGGATCTCCGTGGTGCCAGGTGGATCAATGTTTAGCCAGACGATAACACCAACTAATTGCACTGTAGTGATCCCTATAAAAACGGGAGTTACATAATACGATATCAGGATCGACAGTTTATGATATCATGGTAATGGAATATGTACTTATAATAAGCTTGCTATAATTATTAACCCTTTCACTATGACGTACGTCGCCGGGAAGTCTCTTCCGTAGAACACAGCGCGGTGTCAAAGATGATAATTTTACGATCACGCAGTCTTTAGCATTCGGTCTTTTGACGCAAATCTTATAAAGAAAAAAGGAAACGGGAAAACTGAGCATCGCAATAGAGCTTGCAATTCTTTGCGAAGAGAGCTAAGAGGAACGGTAGCACTTGTCTTAAATTTTTACTCAATTCTTGTGGTCGGTGATCATAGTCACCCATCGTGCGTAGATGGCATCTGGTGGCCGGTGACTATGGTCACCCGTTGTGTGTAGATGGCGCCTCTAAGAGAGCTAAGAGGAACGGTAGCACTTGTCTTAAATTTTTACTCAATTCTTGTGGTCGGTGATTATAGTCACCCATCGTGCGTAGATGGCATCTGGTGGCCGGTGACTATAGTCACCCGTCGTGAGTAGATGGCACCACGTGGCCGGTGACTATAGTCACCCGTCGTGAGTAGATGGCGCCACGTGGCCGGTGACTATAGTCACCCGTCGTGAGTAGATGGCGCCACGTGGCCGGTGACTATAGTCACCCGTCGTGTGTAGATGGTGTCTGGTGGCCGGTGATTATAGTCAGCCGTCGCGTGTAGATGGCGCCACGTAACCCGTGACCATAGCCACCCGTAGTAGCGAAAGGGTTAACCACTTCGGTACAAGCATCGCGAACAGCCGAGCGTCGACAATAGTCGACAGCTAGAGATGAACGCGAACAACAGAGCGTCGACTTTAGGCGACGGTTAAGAACTATTACTTTGGTTCTGCATTAAATTTTCTAATTTCTCATTTAATTTCTCATGTGCATGGCTATCAGCAATATAAATAAATTCCTCCTCACAGAACCATCGTTACTGGGACACCCTGTATATCAGTTTATTCCGTATAAAACATTTCCTCGACTAAAATTTCAGATACACGTTGTTTCACCCACTACCATTGCATATCTAATCAAATATCAAATAGCAAATCCAACAAGACTCAAGTGGATTTATATCACGAGGGGCAAGATAGCTTGGAAGAGCATAAATTTCTCTTTTCTAGGCCAAACTATCCTCTCGTATGGGAATGCCAGATACATATCTAAGAACCCTTTTAAATGACAGTTCTGTTTAACTTCTGCTGTTGTGGATTGTATCCAAAAACTGAGATTACTGTATATATATGCATCCATGTATACTTGCTGTATCTCGAATCTCAATCTCAAGTTCCAATCCTTCTTCTATAAAGTTCGTTTCGCGTTCGTCATATTTTACGTCCACGTGTGACATTGCAGTATATCTCGTGTCTCGAGAAGACATAAAACACGGAAAGCCGTATTCTAAAGATCCATATCGATAGATAAATAAGTCTTCACTAGTCATTTCACGGAAAAGCACGAGTGAAATCCCTGCTCAGGTTCATAAGACTTTTTACCTTCATTTGCACGATACGTGGTTCAAGAACTAGGCCCAAATCTCAAGTTTGATAAATAGACATGCGTGACTCGAATTGCATTTTCCATAAAGCAGAAGTCAAATTCTTTTTAGCTCAACTAAATAATACTTTTCAGCTGGTACAATGAAGTACCATGAAGAAGTAGAAGAAATAGGATAGGTATAACCGAGTCTCCTATAATGCAGGATTTTTATAACGCGATTTCCATAGAACATGGAGCGAAAATTGGGACCGTTCTTCTATAACGCGATCACCTTATAACGTGTTTTTCGTACAAGAATATTTCAACAACTCAAATGGCTTAAAAAGTAATGTAAAAATGGGCTGGATTTGGCTAAAGAATTAGAACGTTACTTAACTCAAAATGATTATTCAACGATGCGCAGTGCAATTTTTAAAAGAGAATTTCAAAATTGCTTGGCTCCATATAGAGAGGTTTTGGAAGAACTATAAAATAAAACTACATTTGAAAACCAAGAAGAAAATTTGCAAAGTGTGGAGGATTTTCGGGCAATTAGAGAAAAAGAGTTGGACTGCAAATATTTGACAGCGATGATGAATAATAAAACAATCTAATCGTGGTATCCTCGATGTATGAACCACGTGATAAGAATGTCTGAATTCTGATCAGACTGAAGCGGTTTCATAAGAGCGTTTGGGAATAAAACATTTGTTTCAGAAATAAATATAAATAAGAAGAAATATGGAATAACATTTAAGGATAAGAGAATTTATGATAGAAAAGATTTTAATAAAGGCTTTGATAGGCGTCCAAAAGATAATTATATAAAACGAAGTAATAAACCGTTTAATTTTAACACGTTAGAATCCTATTTTAAATTAGGATGCGTCACTAATATGTATCAAATTAAGTTTCTTTGTTGGAAACAATTTTTTTAGTTTATAATTTTATTATACGAACTATGTATTATATTCGACAAACCTAAATTCAAATATGTAAAATTCTACATATTCATTGCCATTTCTATTATAAAATTTTATTTATTAACCGTATCAATCGTAACTTCATACTTTGAGAATGCAGTTTTTATATAGGTCTGATTTATGTAGAATTTATTTATTTTTGAGATTCCATATAACGCGATGCGAATTCAATTTGCATTATTTCTGAGTTTCTTATAGCGCGATTCCTATATAACGCGGCAGTGGTTTGCATATAACGCGGTATAAATTAATCCGATTTGTCTGATTGATATGTTTATCATAACGCATTTCCTGATTTCGATTAATTCTGATTTTCTTACAACACGGTTTCCATA